CCACAGTTTATAACTTTGTTAAATTTCTTCTGATTTTAATTTGTAAGTAAAATTTTATTATTTTTATTAATCATGAATTGCAAAAAGGCAAATGAAAAGCAACAGAAAACTAAAAAAAAATGACTAGAATCACAATGGAACTGAAAAAAATGATTGTTGAGAAATATGAAGGCGGCATGCATGTTCGAGATTTAACTGTTGCATACCATATTCCAAGAATGACAATATTGACAATTGTGAAAAATAAAGACATTATTAAATCTACTAATGTTGCAAAAGGGTAAATCTATAATAAAATTTATTTTTTTATTAATGTGCTCAAACAGTGTTTAAATTATTTTACAACCCCATTAATATACCATATCATTTTTTTACATGAGAACAAATTAATCATTTTTACATTACTTCTTATGGGAAAGGTTGATTTGGTATACGTCCTTTTCAGTTCAAGTCCAAACATCAGGAACTGATTAAGGTCGTATACTGAGGTTCCACTGTATATATTCATATAATATTAAATTATATATATTATATTGCACTTGCAGGTATTTTATGCTTGAAATACAGCTAAAAAAGTAAAAAACAAGATTTTATATTGTTTCTTATGTGAAAAATTGTTTCAGTTTTCAAACATTTATGAATGAATTAAGTTCAAAAACTGAGGTTTGACTGTACTATGATTTACAACATTATCTATGAACATTTGAATATAAGATAAAACAAAGAAAAATTATGATAAAAATAACACAAAAAACAGTAATTTAAAAACATAGATGATGATAAATATATAGACTATGTATATAATATATAAAAATTTATATAAATGATACTGATAAATTTGCATTTTGAAGACAATTTATTGTGCATCAATGAAACAGACATCTTTCAAACCATATATTTTTTATTCAAAAATGTTTTTCATTAATGATATAATATGATGTTATATTGTATTATTTCACTGGAATGAAATAATATAACATCATATTATATCATTATTACAATATATTTCAGTTGAATACAGTTAATGTTATCAGTAGTTAATGTAATCTCTGTGATTAGAAGCCTAGAAAGAAAAAATGTACTTTGTACTTTCACATTTCAATAAATTTTAATACATACCTGAAGAATTAATAAGAGTTGACAAAATGAAGGAACCTCACTTTTACTAGTAATAACCGAAAATATACATGAACAAACATCTTGTACAGTATATTTGGGTAAGAAAATACAATAGATACACCAATGAAAATATTCACACCTAAAAGTTAATTATTTTATATAACATGAATATTTTATATATTAACATCAAATATAAATGTAAAGAAATTTAAATTTTACCTTTCATAAGCATTAAAATTATCTTGAAAAGGTTTAACTTCAGCCTCAAAAGTAACCCAATCTCTCAATGAAAGTTTTGTTTCATCCAAGGCTCTGCAGATTAAATCTGAATTAAATAAGTGAATGACATCATCAAATTTTGTATCAGTTTTGTCAACAGAAATGTCATTCTGGATTAATTCTCTTAATTCTGGATGTAAACGAACAGCTATGAACTGAAACTAAGAAAAAACAATTTATTTTTACATTTCTATTATAATATATTTTATATATAATATAATAGAAGCAATTACCTTTTTCACAAGACTTGATGGCATTAGAACTAAATAATTTTCATCACTTATGATCTTTGAAACTTGTTTTAAATAAACTGTAAATAACCTACATAATTGAAATTATATTAATAATTTATAGGTTCTTTTTCATTTGTATTTTTATAAATAAAACTAATATACTTTAATCTACATCAATTCTATTTGATGTATTAATGCAATTTAATCTATCATTGTAAAACATTAAATATTTATTACTTAAAATCAAAAATTAATTCTTACTTTAAATTATTTAACATTAACTGATGAGTTTCAAGTTTTAACAAAGTGAAAATTGCATTACACAATGTAGTAACATCAGATAAATTATCATGTGATACTTGTGGAAAAATATCTGTTCTTTCAGTTATTCTTATTAAAAGAAGAGATAAACCATAAATTTCTGAATCATCATCATTATGATGAGTCTATAAAATAAAACATCAATTAAATTTGTTATATATCTGAATAATTTGTTTGAAAAAATAAAAGTTACCAATTTTTGCCAAAGATGGAAAAAAAGTGGTTTATGTAAGACAGAAAAGTTGCCAATCATGGATACAAATAAAATATCCCAATCTGACTTCCGCTCATCATGTTTTAACTCCATCAAGTTTATACAACACTTGAATGCTTCCAGGAGTGATAATGATATCTGTAACATACATATATATTCATTTTAATATATTTTTAGGATATACTTTTGTTTTATAACTTAGAATTTTGTGTTAGTTTTGTAAATCGTTAAGAATTTAAAAAATAAAATACAGTTGAAAAAATTTGGAAACAAGTCTATTTCTAGTGACTTCTCCAGAATAAATGTGTGATAAATGAAACTCTTTAATATATATTTTAATTAAATTACAATATAATTTAGTAAGGAAAAGACTAAAGTGGACAAAGAGATAATGAAAGAAATTTAAAATTAATGAAGAACAAAGCAGTTAGAATAAGTTTAGAAGACAGAGAATGATAAACTTCTCTACTATTTCAAGATGAATATATTAATAAGTGAAATTAGTATATGATTTACTCTGAATATTTGTTTAAGAAACAATTTTTGATTCATCAATAATGTTATGCATGTGCATAGCATTGGTTTTGACATAACTGGCTTTCATAGAACAGTGTAACAGTCATTTCGTAAGGTTTAAACTTCTGTTTTAATTTTTAATTTTCTGTGATTTAAATTAAACAAACATTCAATACAACTGAAAACATTTGTTTAGTTATTAAAAGTTTTTAGTTCTATTGGAGTCAAGATGGTTATTAGAAATATTATTAGAAACTATTTTTTGCAAATGACCTTTTTATGCCGAGAATTAATAGCTATGTATAAAATTATTACAAAACTCACCTGCAAGTGTATATTTTTTCCATAAAATAATCATATCAATAAATTTAATAACATTAAAATATTGTATTTACTCAAATATAAAATGACACAGAATCTAAGACACACCTTAAATTTTACACAAAACCCAGTTTTTTTTTTTTTTTAGGAAAAATAGAAAACTCAAGACAAATTTATATCAGAACTGATTCTGTTCATAATGTTCAGTATTTATTGCAAGTAAATAAAGTTATATATCACTTCTTCCATGGTATTACAGTCAGAAATATCTTCACTTCTATGTTAAGCTCTTCTGAATCAACACTGTATTCAATGCTATCATCATCTTCTTACATGCTTTCTGTTACATGTTACATGCTAGTCTTCATGCCATGTTCTTGTTACATGCTAGTCTTCATGCCATTTGAAGCTCTGAAAATGCAACACTTTAAAAAAGTGTTGCAAAACTTTTTCTGAGATTTTCATCTGGTACTTACAATGTTATTATAATAGACCAATGAGACTGAACTAAGTTGACCGCTTACATATTTACTATTATAAATATCGATCTAATAAAATCATTAAAATGATGCAATGGAATTAATCACAAGAAAAATAAAATGCATGGTATTAGAGGTCACTAATTATGTCAAATCTAGGATGCACTCTATTGTCAAAGATACTAAAACCTGAAAAAAGTGTACCTTATATTCAATTACCTGAATGTAAGACACACTTTTTTAGGTTTTAGTATATAGTAGTTAGTATATTTAGCTTTAGTACAGTCATACTGTACTGTACATACCAAGAATTAGACTGTGTATTTAATTTATAAAGAAATACAAAATTGAACCAAGAACTATATTTGTTAAATAGCTTATTTTTATGTGAAGTAAACAGTAAGTATAAACAGCTACATACTTTTGAATAAAGAGAATGTTCATCTATTTTTTCAGTCAGGCAGATAACTTTTTCAGGTGATTCAACTGATTCATTTTCCTTCAATACTGACTGGATAGCCACAGATAATTGATTAATTAACATTAGTTCTTCTTTGATTTAAAAAAAACAAAACAATATATAGTAAATAAATTTTATATTATTAAAAACAATAAAAATTTTTCAATTAAAAATATTAATTTTACCTGGTTTATTTTTATCTTCGAATGATTTACAAAAATAGTTAATTGATTTCTGCATATTATCAAAAGGATTATTTAATTCCTCTTCAAACGATTCATCCATAATTACTCCTATGAAAATGTTTAATCATTATAAATAATATTTAAACAGTAAAACAATTTTCATTCTATAAAATATTCTGACCTTCTAACATTCTAGTTGTTTCTCTCTCACATTCCTCTTGATATTTGTCATATAAAGAAACAGGCAATTTACCCAATCTAAAAATTTAAAATTTTTTATGGAAGTACATTTATATAAATTTTATTAAAAATTATTATAAAACCTCTTACTTTTTCAGTTCTTCAATAAATTTTGTTCGAATATCTGGCACATCTGAAAACTAAAAATAATTTTAATTAGTTTATAATAAAAAGTATCATTTTTATAAGTTTAAATATAGTAACTTACAGGACGAGGTGAGAGAAGAACAGGGAGAAATTGTCCAATAAAATAGGTTTTATGAAACAAACTGAAATTAAGCAAATAAAATAAATACAATTTATTTTTGAATTATTCATTTACAGAAGGTTGATTTCTGAAGAATATCCCAATATGATCTAGACATTAGTAAAGCTTAAATTAGAAACATAATTAATCAACTATGAAATCATAACATGTCAATAAAGGGAATGCCAACAAAAGTAATTCCACAGTGCCAAGCTCAAAAGATAATACTACCTCTCCAAAAGATAATGCAATGTCTGAGTGTTACAAGAGAATCCACCAACACAACATTCTGAGAAGGTAGACATTGTACAGCTGATCATCAGACAAAAGTTGTGGCTCTGATGGTCCATAAGATACAAGGACGCCTTGATATCTCAGTATTATCAAGAGTGAAAGACAAATTGCCAGTGTCAGTATGATGGAGAGTTTGTAGCTATAATAGATACCTTTCCATGATATACCTGTGAAGTTCCCTGATGCTAGCCCAAAAGATTTTTGTGACTTCAGAATGCTGAAAACAGCAATTGGAAAATGGCATGACACAACATTAAATGATCTATGGAAAATTTGCATAGATGACTTAAACAAACTATCCTCTCTCACCTGTTCAGGGCAGTCTCCTGCCCTGAAAGAATTTACTAAACTGAGACTTTAGTAAATTCACAGTGAAAGAAATCAACTTTCTGTATTAGCTAAATACTTTTATAGCAGCAAAGTAATCTATTAAATATATTTATCTAAACTTTTAATATTTAAAGATGGAAAAAACTATTGTTTTTTACAGTGTATAAAATTTTGAAATTTATCAATTAACCAATTATCTTTGTCAAATGTCTTTCAAGTTGATGAAATCATAATGTGTAATTCTAATGCAGTGAACTCTTATTAATTCAAATTCCACAGAATTCAGGAAAAATTTGAATTATCCAATGTTCAAATTTTCAGAAATGTCTAACGAAGTAAACTTTTTACAAATCAAGAAAGAAAAAATATTTTATATCTGCTGAATCATAAAAATATAAAATTTTAAAATTAAACCTAATTTGCTAAGTTTTTTTAAATAAAGTGAAAATGTTTTAAAATGATGTCAGAGCCCTAGGTCAAAAATGGTTAACAATCAAGGAAAACTTTAATACAAATTAAAAAGGAAAGCTATACAATAGAATGTGGCTAGAAACATCAACTAGTGTTTGATCAAATCACTTTTCTCATATTTACGTAATTAGCAACATTTTAATGTATAAACAAATATACTTTTGTTTGAATTATCCAACTTTAAATTAATGAAAACATAATTTAAAGATATAAAACTTATATAATATCTAGTTAATCTTACTAAATATTTAATTTTCTGGCAAATAATGTGGATAATTATAACTTTTATTAAAAAAATAAAAAATAATAATAATCATACAAAATGAAATTTTTACTGTAAATTAATTTTTGTTATTTTTATACTTTTTGATAAGACTAATACAGTGGAACCCCGGTTAACGAACGTCCTGGTTAACGACCAAATCGGTTAACGAACTTTTATTTTGCAAAAATTTTGTCTCGGATAACGAACAAAATTCGGATAACAAACGTAACGGTATTTTGTGTCAAATTTTAGTTGGTGTTAGGCACGCGCGAGTTAAGCATTGCTTTTCCGAGTGTTTGTGCTATACTTCTTTTTTCAGTTTTGTGATTTATATATTTAATCAATATGGCATCCAAGAAAGAAAAAAGTCATAGTGGCAATAGAAAACGACAACGCAATATAAACGACAATGCGCTATCGCATTTGAGAAAAATTTTGATTAAAAGAGTAAGACAATCAACTTTAGATCAATTTCTTGTTCCTTACGGAAAGAGTTTGTTTGTTTGTTAAGTTATGGCAACGCAACACTTGGGCGATCTGCCTAGGGGAATGCCTTCTGGGAGGTGTTTTTAAGGGAAACTGGCCCCTATTTAGGCGTTACAGACGTGGAGAAAACCCGGAAAACTCCACGTGGCCAGCCCGTTTGAGCGAGGTGCGAACCCACGAACGAACTCCCCGTGTTCAAGGTACGAAGACCACTTAGCCACTGGTGGGTTTTTTTTCAAAAGAGACTTCGACTCAATCTTCCGATGAAGTGCTACCCGTTATTTTTTTGGAGGGGATTCCCCTTCTAAGCATTAAGGTTCGTATATATCCACTTTTCTGCCACCAACTACAACAAATGAAGGTATGTACAGTGCTATTTTATTAAACAAAGTTTACATGTTTGTTGCTGTAATGATAGATACTACGTTTTCCTACATTTTCATCAAAGAAAATTACTGTATATCACAAATTAAATCACAAAAATTTCGGAGACTAGAACGGATTAATTGCATTTGCATTAATTTCTACGGGAAAAATTGCTTCGGTTAACGAACAATTCAGTTAACGAATGGAGTCGCGGAACGGATTAAGTTCGTTAACCGGGGTTCCACTGTATTTTAAATTCTTCATTTAACATTAGTATGAAATATATTATTTTACTTATATTAAAAATTTTAAATGTAAGTTTTTAATTATCCAAATTCAAATTTTCAGTTTTTTATTTATAAATATTTACCTTGCTTCTAACACAGAAGATGGGATTCTACCTGTGGTTTCATAAAGTAACAGAGCCTTGTTCACGTCTACTTCTGCTTGAGTAGAAAACTAAAAAAATTTTAATTCAAAATTAATTTATCTTTGTAATCATATATATTAATCTAAAAAAATCTTATTTAATATATTCAAGTTAAAAGCTTTTTCTTATACTTTGAAAGAAATCAAAATTCAATGTAAATTTATATTATTATTACAATCTCATATTTCATATAATCTATGCTCAAAGCTCAACTGTCACAATTGAGCTGCAATTTGAGTTAAATAGAGAAAAGTCAAGACTAGATATGGAAAGCTTAGGGACAGGAGACCCTGATTAACTATATATGAACTTCTGGTTTGCACCGGAAGTTACATTATTTCAATTCAAAAATTTTTCCCTGAAAGGTGTTAGATAGATGACTGGCATGACTCTATTCTAACAGGAAAAGTATGATGTACAAGAGCAAGACATTACTAATTTGAAATGGAGAGCATATATTTTAAATTAAATAAATTATAAATTGCGGCCTGGTATTGTGATGATGTCAATAAAATAATTGCTCATTCTGATTACTTTGTTTTAATTATAATTAAAAAAATGAAACAACACCTAACATTGGTCATTATACTAAATATTTTAAATGTTTATAGTAAATAGTAATAAATATCAATATAAATTTATGAAATTATTGTTAAATTTTACACATACAGTAAAAATTCAGCCATCTGAAATAGTTTAAGAAAAAAAACTAGAACATGTAGCATTGTAGATACCACAAAGTATAACACATGGAGACCAAACTCTTTATGTAATTGAAATTCACTATGTCATCTGTCAATTGTAGCACTGTGAAACTCGATCATATATAAGTAAAATTGCATTAGATTTGAGTAAATTAATTTACCTTTAAATATAGTTTCTGCATTACATTGTTTATTGTTCATGAAACTTTAAATGCACAGTGACTAAGGTACACAAAACACAAAAACAAACAAATAATTATTTATTGTGATATTGTCACAATGTCGAGTTGCAATTTTTAATCATATTTTTAATTTATTTCATTTAAAATATATGCTCTCCACCTCAAATTAGTAATGTAGTGTCTTACATCATACTTTTCCATTAGCAATGGAATCATGCCAATCATCTATTAACTGCTTTCAGGGGAAAAGCTTTGAATTGAAATAACGACTTCTGTATATTTCAAAAAACTGGGTACTTAACTATATAACACTCACCAAATAAACCATCACCAGTTCATAACCAAACAGAAAAATATTTTATATATTTTCAGTTTTAACGCAACATATTCGAATTATGTAGTTAAACGGAACTTTCAAAAACATTCTATTCTACTAGCCGTTAGTTCGATATCGTCAATACCTGAGGATGACTATTACATATAGATGAAAACGTTCGTAGAAAGAATTTTTTCTGTTGGGTTATGAACTGGTGATAGTTTATTTGGTGAGTGTTATATAACGACTTCTGGTTTGCATTGGAAGTTCACATATAGTTAATCGAGGCCTCCTGCCCCTAATGTTTCCATATCTGGTCTTGGATTTCATCTATCTAATGCCATTTTCAAGATTAAGGAAAGATGGATGGACGGACAACAGTAGGAATTTATAGATCTACAATTTTTTCAAATTGCAACCCAATAAGTTTCTGGATTATCCAAAAGACCCCTACTCTCATCAAGTTCAGATAATTAAATTTTCATTGATATTAATTTACATACCTTTGAATTTCCCTCCTCTGTTTTATCTTTTAATACATCTGCTTCAGAGTAAATGCCTACTTGATCACAGTTTTCCTTTTTTTAAAAAAATATAACACATAAAAAATATNTTCAATATTTCACTGTATAAAATGCAAATAATTTATTTATGAAATAAATTTAGTTTAAGAATTAAACTTCAAGATATTTTATATTGGAGCAAGACACCAACAGTAATTGTATTACTTCTTGACCCATTTTCTTCTATTAATGTGACTGACCTCATCCTTAGTAGAGCCACACCTGTTTGCAGTATGTCAGTTTAAAAAAAAAATTATCTGAAAATTTATGATTTCCTACTTCTATTTTTCCCTATTCCTTAGTCAGGTCAATTTTTATCTGAATCATTATCCAGTAAAAAAAATTTAAATATTTATCAATAAGTTATTGTTGTTGATGGGGAAAATGAGATAGCAGTTAGTAAAACATTTTTTGTTTTTAATTTTTTAACTAAATTATCATTTCTTCTTTCTATTGTTGACTTTTTCTGCTCTGTGGACTCCAAGAATGCCTTTTCTGCATGCCCATCATCGGTTTGCTGAGGCCCACAATAAGGAAGGTAAAGCATTGAAAAACAAATATGTATTCATAATATAATTGTTCAATTTTGTCATTAGCACAAAGTGCATCTTTATAAACATTGAAAATAGTTTTGGCAATACTTCAACTTTTTAAAATAAATAATAAAGATTATTAAGTATTATTAATTTTGTGTATAGTTGTAAGAATTTATTTTAAAGTATTCACAAATTAAAAGTGAACTTTTAACCTTGAATATTAATCATAAGTTAGTATAAAAAGTAGTCATGCTGGTCATCTATCTAACTCCTTTCAGGGGAAAATTTTGGAATTGAAATAATATGACTTCCAGTATTTATTGGAAGTTTGTACAGTATATAGTTAATCAAGGCCTCCTGCCCCTAAGCTTTTCATATCTGGTCTCATCTTTTATCTATCTAACTCCGTTCTCAAGATTAAGAAAGCCCAATTAATTCATGCCTATCTCACCAATTTTACTAACATTAAATGTTAAAATTTAAAAACTTAGAGTCCAAAGGATATATCTGAGTCAGAATGCGCAAATTTGATACCACTTTCCAGAGCAGCAGGTTGATATCGTACTGCCTCAGCTATCTAGGTATCAGATTTATCTTTTAACAACAGCTTCAATATGTAAAACCTCATCTTTCTGCCATAAAATCTCGAATTAATATTAATTTAAATTAATATAATTTATTGCATAAATAGCTACAGAAAATCATCCAATGTAATGACCTATAGCAATAAAAATTTGAACATCACTAACTAAAATCTATTGATGCATAATTGTTTATGTGAGAACTTGGAAGTCATTTAATATGTTCCTATTATAAGAAAGAATTAATTTAAATTAATTTTTAAAGAAGAGTTTATTTGAAATAATTGTTGGAAATTTATTTTACTTTCAAGTTTACTTAGCAAAGAAAGAGGAGATTATGTCATTTCCCTCAATGACAATAATTATCTAAAAAAATGTTGACACATCTTGTGGCGCAATTCATCCCAGGTTCCTGTCACACGGTGGGTCCAAACAACTCATTGGAGGAGATTTAGCTATAAAAGGGGAGAACATCCTTGAAAAAAGTGTTATCTCATTATCTTTTTAGATGTTTTCTCTCCAAGTGCTCCTGTCAAGTTGCCTCCAATGATTCGGATGAATCAAAGGTCCTCCACAGTTGTTAGAAAAATTTCTTGAATTCATTCTAAAGTTCTCTACATTTCTCCAAAGTTTGTATAAATCTTCATCAACATCTCCAGAATATGATGAAATCTCCTTGAAGACAAAATCCCAAGAGTTTAGAGATAACAGATATATAAATATTGTGAACTCTCTCTCTCTAATTATAAGTTCAAGAATTAGTTTTGTTCTTTATTTTTCATGTTGATATTGTAATCAGCATAGATTGTTTATTTAGATTATAATAAAATATGTTTAATTTACTCATAAATATGTTTCTGGATTGATTATTTTAATTATCATCAAATTATATTCTTGGATCATAACCCCCTCTCTATCAAAGACCACTTGGAATAAGTCAAGTAATATCGCAGGTTAGGATTCAAAGAAACGATCAAAATCCTAACTGGTGTCAGGATCCTGACGTAAAAGATGGGGATCTTACCAATCTTCACATCTTTCTTCTCTTTAATATTAAACATCCTGAATCCGTGAGCGGGATCTTACTGCTCCAATCTCACAGTTTAATTTCAATGATATTTTAAATAATGTTTGTAAAGAATTTATAATAAAATTTAAATGCAAATATAAACTTTTAATTACAATCTAATATTAATTAATATACTGTATTTGAAATTATTTATGAATATATACAAGGTGCATCTGAAAAGTTTGGTGAATGGTCCCATAGTTGAATAACTATGCTGGTTAGGATGTTGCACTCATGCAGACATAGTGAGAGACTTGCCAACTAGTGCCCCCTAGCGTTGAAATCACGACAGTTAAACGGAAGTGCACGCAACAAACAATGCAATGCAGTCAGTGTGAAAAGGAGAGTCACTACAAAATGGAGCAATGCGTGAACATCAAGTTTTGCTTTTGCTTCAAATTAGGCAAAACAGCAACAGAGACACATGAAATGTTAGTGAAAGTGTATGGTGTGGAAGCAGTGAGTAAAAAGTGTGTTTTTGAATGGTTTAAACGCTTCAGAGAAAGAAAGGAAAAGATGTCGACAATAAGCCACGTTCTGGTAGACCGTCAACAAGCACAACTCCAGACAACATTGAACGAGACAACGGATGCTTGCAGATGATCGGTGCCTGTCTTTGAGAATGATAGCAGAAGATTTGAAGATAAGCAAGGACAGTGTGAGCACCATTGTTTGTGAACATTTGCAAAAGTGTAAGATTTGTGCCCGGTTTGTACTGCACACACTGTTAGAAAAGGGAAATCAACACCAGATGGAAACCTCTGAAGATTTCATCGACGTGTGTGACTGGAATCTGCAGTTCTTGGAAACAATCATTACAGGGGATGAGTTGTGGTGCTACCAGTACAATCCGGAAACCAAGCAACAGTCCGTAGAATGTTGCTTGGTTTCCGGATGGTCATCCTCCTCCCAAAAAATGTTGTCTCACCAAATCCAGGATTAAGACGATGTTGGTTGCCTTTCCTGACAGTAAGGGCTTGATCCATCATGAATTTTTACCCGACGATACAATCATTAATGCAGAATTCTATGAGGGAGTTTTGAAACTGCTGCAGAAATGCATCAGGTGACTTCGGCCACAGCTGTACCAGAGTAGACAGTGGACTCTTCTCCACGACAACGCCCGTCTGCACACTGCAAGCTGCGTACGGCACTTCCTTGCTACACGCCAGATGACAGTTCTTCAACACTCTCCATATTCTCCAGATCTGGCACCTGCAGATTTCTTTTTGTTTCCCCATCTCAAAGGAGTCCTAAAAGGCCTACGCTTTTCTAACATTGCACAGATCCAACAACGTGTGACAATGGTGCTTTGTGCGATACTGAAAGAAGTGTTTGCTCACAGCTTCCAGCTGCTGTACAACTGATGTCAAATGTGTGTTGTTGCTAATGGCGATTACTTTGAATGCCAGTAAAGGTATTTTGTTTGTATCTCTTGTTTCCTTTATTTAATGAGATCATTAACCAAACTTTTCAGACACACCTTGTATTTATTTTCATTCATAATTTCTAGTTTTGATTTATGAAACAGTATTATTCATAATATTACAATAATAATTATAAAATTAGTATTTTGTTAACACACTGTCAAAGAGAAGTAACCAATTTAAAACAAACAGGTAAAGAGAATTGTAATACAGTACCTTTAAATCTTGTAGACGAGTCTTGACTAACATAACATAATCATTAAACAATGGACGGCATTTACTTGGAATTGATGGTGGTCTTGTTAAATGTGCCTAAATTATTAAAATGCAGTCAATAAATTTCATAATAACATAAATTTTAAATACAGTGGAATCTTATATACATACATACATACATATATATGTTACATTTAAAAATTCTAAATAAATTTTACTTTGCAGATATTAATAAATTTTTTATTATCAATCATATATTTTAGCATTATTTAAGAAAGTTTATATAATGATATTATATGAAGATTAGAATTTAGATTTTTAAAATACAGTAGAGCATCGATTATCCGACTCAACTGGAAACTTGGGTTGGTCGGATAACTGAAAAAATCGGATAATCGAAAAGAATGAAAAAATATATTATTAGTATAGTATATTAGCATATTAGTATATCCCATGTAATTAGTATATTAGTATATCGCTATTAACATACTTCACATTGAATTTTCATCGATGTTAAGCCTAACAAAATTTTTTTAAAAATAATAATTGTGGCTATTGTATCGTTAAAAAATATTTTAAAATTATTTTATTGCTCACAAAACAAACAACCACTCACAATTAGAAAATTAAGTCTCGTTTAAATACTGGCCTCCCTTTCATGGTCGAGCCAGTGTTGTCAGCTAAAACACGCAAAAATTTAACAAAAACAATATTAAAGTAGCCAAGACATAGCCAAATATTGTAGTGCCACATCACTAGCAGACACTTGAAATTTGCCGACTAGAACGGTCGGTTAACCGATGTGACGGTTAATTGACGATAGGATAATCAATGCTCTACTGTATTTATTGTAAGAGTAAATAAAAAGTAAGAGTAAATCATTTATATTTACTCAGAATCAATAAGAATTACAGAAATATGTTAATGTAAATATAGTTTTCACAGTGAAACTTAATTTCAAACTATAATTTTATTTATATTTTGCAATTTATTATTAACAAAAATAATCCTTAAACACATGGTTAGATATTCAAATTTAACACTCACCAACAACAAAATCCAGCAAAATGTAGAAATTTTACTGTAAACTAATGTTTTCATCTGTATATAACAGACATCTTAGGTTTAATCCATAGAATAAAACAGTAAAGTTAAATTAAACATTTAGAACCATTAGAATATTTTTTAAAATGAACAGAATGTCTTTAAGAACATGCAGAGAACTGCACATGCCTGGTTTGGACAAGTGCTTAATTTATCTCAAACAACACTCTCCATAAAGAGTGAATCAGTTTCCTTAATGTTAACTGTTTTCCTCTTCAAAGAAACTAATTCAATCTACACGACTTAGAGAGTACTGTTTGAGATAAGTTACTTGTTGGTCCACACTAGGCATGCATAGTTCTCCACATGGTTCTTAAAGATATTCTCATTTCTAATAGCAGTAAATATTTAATTTAACTTTAATATTCTATCCTATGGAATTAAACCTGAAGATGTCTGAGATATACAAATAAAAACATTATAGTAAAACTTCTACATTTTGCTGAATTTTGGTGTTGGTGAGATGTTAATTTTGAATTTATTATTAAAATATGTTCTTGATATTTTTCTAATAATAAAATTTAAAATAAAAAAAAGTGTATTTTAAAATGTATAATATAATTTGTAAAATAGAAAACTGCATTTATTGCTTAATAAATAAATGAATAAATTTGGAAGATTCATCTTAATAACTTTGAAACTATTTTCTTTTCTTTTGTTAATTTAGTAAGGTAACAAATAATATTATTTAAATAATGTGTCAGTGATAATAACAATAATAAAAGGATAATTTTATTACTCAGCAGCAGTCAAAATGGAAGTAAATTATTAAAAATTTTCATCGGTTATTGACACCCTCACTTTTCTCTCCTATAGGCACCAAGAGGGCCTTTTATCATACCTATCATAAGTTTGGTCAGACACATAATGGGAAAAGCTAGGTAATGACAAATGGGGTCTGACAATCCAGGACAGACTACCCCCAAACAATTGCTGGTCTGTTTTTCAACTACTCAGATTCAATCCTGAATCCCCCAAAATAGTAGGCTAATGCTTTAACTATCTCAGCTATCTAGTTGTCATACCCTCACCTTCTAATGATATATTTGTGTTTCATATAGTTATAATTATTTGTGAGACCCGAAAGGCCCTGGGTCACATTTAATAATTTTTATTGATAATATTAAATTATCGACACAAAATATTACTTCATTTTTTGTGAAAATTAGTGTTTTGGACGTGGGAAAAAACCAGATAACAGATGCTACTTCCTTTCACAGAAGAGAACATCCTCTGACTTTCCCTTATCTGATTAAAAATCTCACTAAGATGGGAAATGGTTACCCCTCATTCATTCCCCTTTCGTCCGTTCTCATGAAAGAGTTACTGGTCGATGATTGGTCAAAATTCAGGAGATATAAGGGAATTTAGTCCGAATTCGGGGAGTTCAGCGACAGTTCTGGAAGCGTCCAAACTCCATACGTTTTTCCTCCTGATGACCAACGCCCTTAAACGAGTCCCATAGACTAAGTCCCGAGTCTGAACTTAGTAAAGATACTTTTATATTTGTGCACGTATTGATCTCCCGTACGAAGAAGTAAATGAACTCTATCTACAAGGTGTCCCTTACCTACAGAGAGGAAGACGAACAACAACTAACCAGGTCGTATGGTTTATAATAATTTTGTGAGCTCTCTCTCTCGATCGCGCATCAGTATAAAATAAGTCTTAGACTATAACTCGTGTAGCTTAATTGTCTTATTGATATCTCTCGTTCATTGATGTTTGTATTCGTTTTGCTTTTTGAGTTATTAAATTTACTCTTGTTAAATATACTTAAATGTCTCTTCAATTGATTCCGAATAGGATCTCATACGCGTGTTAATCCGCGTATAATAAGACTGATTAACTGGTGTCAAGGAATCCTGACGAGCATCTGAACTTCGCAGTTCGGATCATATAGCGGTTATTGCTCTCCTATGAAATATTTAAGATCAGATCTAGTGATCTGCATCCTAGAGAACTAGTCCTACCGACTGGTGCCGATTAAGTGTTACACGAGTACTACCTACTCCGTAACCCCGGCTACTCTCACATATTTAAAATAAAATTGTATATGAAATAAAATAATCAGCTATTTCATACATTGAAATTAATTTAAACTGTAAAAAAAAAAGACTGGCTGCAATTATCTTACTATAACTTTAAGTAAACAAACATATGCTATCTTTCTTGGAATAAAAATTAATTTAAAAACAGCATACCTTTAAAAAATAAACAGGCTCATAAGGAACTAAACTTGTCAAAAACTTTACAAAATAACTAAATGTTTTACTTGTATTGGCAAAAGAAGTTGATATATCACCAAAATGACTCTGAAATTTCCAATAGGAATGAAGTTTAATTCTTATTAATGATTCAGTTTTATTACTAAAAATAATTACTTACCTGGAACCAGTTTTCATAAGAAATAAAATAGTGAGGACCTTCTAGCACACATTGACGAGTAATAAGAAAACAACTTATCAAATAATCAATTTCTAATTTATCAAATGATTCTTTTAGAAGTTTATTGGTAAAATCTGAAGAAATATAATAAATTATATTATATAAATACTATAAAACTTGAATTATTTACATAAATGAAACTTTACAGATATGCAGTATTTTCAACTAGCAATTGGATATAAACTAAATATTCTTATTTATGTCATTGCAAAAAATAATAGCTAATACTTAATATTTTATTGTATTTATTATTAACATAAATAAAATTCTTTAAGCTGTATACATATCTTTAATGATTCCCATATTATTTTTAATATTTTTGTGCTTGTTCTAGTTTTATTTTCAACTTGTTTACATTTAAATAGAAATGAACACTACACTGTTTTATATTTAATTAATAAATATAATTAGAGAAATCTTGTCATTTCATGAAGATTGTTAATATTCATTTATAATACAGTCAAACTTCTGAATAACAGCCACTGACAGGAGCATTTTTGGAGATTATTTTGTATAGATTTCATAAAGAAGTGTTCTGAAAAAACTGGCTGCCATTCAGAGGTCATTGTTTTAAAAGGTGGCCATTATTGGAGGCTTGACTGTAAACTAAAATTTTTTAAAATTTATAATAAATATAGTTTGATTGAAAAATACCATTGATAATATTTAGCAAATTTTCAAAATATCTTAAAGTAGTTAAAAACATAACTTTATTTCCAAACACAAAAGTGAAGAAATGTACAGTGTATCCATATAAAACTGACCCACTCACTGAAAAAAATACACAAAAACAAATTAATTTAAGCAAAAGGCATCTAATAGAAACTATTTTAACATTACTTAAATGTACAGAAACATATGGAAGATGCTGTAAATGATGTCCATGAACACCCTATGCATCTTTGTGTTCATGAAATCATGTTCAAACTGATCCTACTAATGTCAATGCCTTCAAATGCTTCTGCAAAAGCTATCTTTTGGTTTGCCAACAGTTCTGGGATTGGTCTCATATACTTTCCTTTTTAAATTTCCCTTATAATATTCACATCACTAATGTTTCATCATCTTAGTCAGGCCAATTTCAAGTGGAATAATCTGTATTACACTAATTTATTATTATGAGCATTTAAATACGCATTTTAAATATCAAAATACATTTTTAAGTATGTAAAACATTTGAAGCAAGCAAAATAATTTGGATAAATGAGTTTTGGAAATAGTAGTACAAATGATGAATGTAAGATAAGAAAGATAAAGTACCAAAAATAAGAAAAACCTAATATTAAATGTTTAACTTCTGATGCCAACTTATTCTTTGTTAGCTTTGCTATCCATTTATCACTTATTTTAATGTATTGAAAAGAATNTTTATTACTCAGCAGCAGTCAAAATGGAAGTAAATTATTAAAAATTTTCATCGGTTATTGACACCCTCACTTTTCTCTCCTATAGGCACCAAGAGGGCCTTTTATCATACCTATCATAAGTTTGGTCAGACACATAATGGGAAAAGCTAGGTAATGACAAATGGGGTCTGACAATCCAGGACAGACTACCCCCAAACAATTGCTGGTCTGTTTTTCAATTACTCAGATTCAATCCTGAATCCCCCAAAATAGTAGGCTAATGCTTTAACTATCTCAGCTATCTAGTTGTCATACCCTCACCTTCTAATGATATATTTGTGTTTCATATAGTTATAATTATTTGTGAGACCCGAAAGGCCCTGGGTCACATTTAATAATTTTTATTGATAATATTAAATTATCGACACAAAATATTACTTCATTTTTTGTGAAAATTAGTGTTTTGGACGTGGGAAAAAACCAGATAACAGATGCTACTTCCTTTCACAGAAGAGAACATCCTCTGACTTTCCCTTATCTGATTAAAAATCTCACTAAGATGGGAAATGGTTACCCCTCATTCATTCCCCTTTCGTCCGTTCTCATGAAAGAGTTACTGGTCGATGATTGGTCAAAATTCAGGAGATATAAGGGAATTTAGTCCGAATTCGGGGAGTTCAGCGACAGTTCTGGAAGCGTCCAAACTCCATACGTTTTTCCTCCTGATGACCAACGCCCTTAAACGAGTCCCATAGACTAAGTCCCGAGTCTGAACTTAGTAAAGATACTTTTATATTTGTGCACGTATTGATCTCCCGTACGAAGAAGTAAATGAACTCTATCTACAAGGTGTCCCTTACCTACAGAGAGGAAGACGAACAACAACTAACCAGGTCGTATGGTTTATAATAATTTTGTGAGCTCTCTCTCTCGATCGCGCATCAGTATAAAATAAGTCTTAGACTATAACTCGTGTAGCTTAATTGTCTTATTGATATCTCTCGTTCATTGATGTTTGTATTCGTTTTGCTTTTTGAGTTATTAAATTTACTCTTGTTAAATATACTTAAATGTCTCTTCAATTGATTCCGAATAGGATCTCATACGCGTGTTAATCCGCGTATAATAAGACTGATTAACTGGTGTCAAGGAATCCTGACGAGCATCTGAACTTCGCAGTTCGGATCATATAGCGGTTATTGCTCTCCTATGAAATATTTAAGATCAGATCTAGTGATCTGCATCCTAGAGAACTAGTCCTACCGACTGGTGCCGATTAAGTGTTACACGAGTACTACCTACTCCGTAACCCCGGCTACTCTCACATATTTAAAATAAAATTGTATATGAAATAAAATAATCAGCTATTTCATACATTGAAATTAATTTAAACTGTAAAAAAAAAAGACTGGCTGCAATTATCTTACTATAACTTTAAGTAAACAAACATATGCTATCTTTCTTGGAATAAAAATTAATTTAAAAACAGCATACCTTTAAAAAATAAACAGGCTCATAAGGAACTAAACTTGTCAAAAACTTTACAAAATAACTAAATGTTTTACTTGTATTGGCAAAAGAAGTTGATATATCACCAAAATGACTCTGAAATTTCCAATAGGAATGAAGTTTAATTCTTATTAATGATTCAGTTTTATTATTAAAAATAATTACTTACCTGGAACCAATTTTCATAAGAAATAAAATAGTGAGGACCTTCTAGCACACATTGACGAGTAATAAGAAAACAACTTATCAAATAATCAATTTCTAATTTATCAAATGATTCTTTTAGAAGTTTATTGGTAAAATCTGAAGAAATATAATAAATTATATTATATAAATACTATAAAACTTGAATTATTTACATAAATGAAACTTTACAGATATGCAGTATTTTCAACTAGCAATTGGATATAAACTAAATATTCTTATTTATGTCATTGCAAAAAATAATAGCTAATACTTAATATTTTATTGTATTTATTATTAACATAAATAAAAATCTTTAAGCTGTATACATATCTTTAATGATTCCCATATTATTTTTAATATTTTTGTGCTTGTTCTAGTTTTATTTTCAACTTGTTTACATTTAAATAGAAATGAACACTACACTGTTTTATATTTAATTAATAAATATAATTAGAGAAATCTTGTCATTTCATGAAGATTGTTAATATTCATTTATAATACAGTCAAACTTCTGAATAACAGCCACTGACAGGAGCATTTTTGGAGATTATTTTGTATAGATTTCATAAAGAAGTGTTCTGAAAAAACTGGCTGCCATTCAGAGGTCATTGTTTTAAAAGGTGGCCATTATTGGAGGCTTGACTGTAAACTAAAATTTTTTAAAATTTATAATAAATATAGTTTGATTGAAAAATACCATTGATAATATTTAGCAAATTTTCAAAATATCTTAAAGTAGTTAAAAACATAACTTTATTTCCAAACACAAAAGTGAAGAAATGTACAGTGTATCCATATAAAACTGACCCACTCACTGAAAAAAATACACAAAAACAAATTAATTTAAGCAAAAGGCATCTAATAGAAACTATTTTAACATTACTTAAATGTATAGAAACATATGGAAGATGCTGTAAATGATGTCCATGAACACCCTATGCATCTTTGTGTTCATGAAATCATGTTCAAACTGATCCTACTGATGTCAATGCCTTCAAATGCTTCTGCAAAAGCTATCTTTTGGTTTGCCTACAGTTCTGGGATTGGTCTCATATACTTCCTTTTTAAATTTCCCTTATAATATTCACATCACTAATGTTTCATCATCTTAGTCAGGCCAATTTCAAGTGGAATAATCTGTATTACACTAATTTATTATTATGANCAAATTTTCAAAATATCTTAAAGTAGTTAAAAACATAACTTTATTTCCAAACACAAAAGTGAAGAAATGTACAGTGTATCCATATAAAACTGACCCACTCACTGAAAAAAATACACAAAAACAAATTAATTTAAGCAAAAGGCATCTATTAGAAACTATTTTAACATTACTTAAATGTACAGAAACATATGGAAGATGCTGTAAATGATGTCTATGAACACCCTATGCATCTTTGTGTTCATGAAATCATGTTCAAACTGATCCTACTAATGTCAATGCCTTCAAATGCTTCTGCAAAAGCTATCTTTTGGTTTGCCAACAGTTCTGGGATTGGTCTCATATACTTTCCTTTTTAAATTTCCCTTATAATATTCACATCACTAATGTTTCATCATCTTAGTCAGGCCAATTTCAAGTGGAATAATCTGTATTACACTAATTTATTATTATGAANCGGTTCTGTATTTTATTTATTAATGCATTTTTAATAATATATGGTTAATAAAAATCTATTTTAAGCTTACAAACAAATAAATTTTAGTTTTTAATATAGTACAGAAAAAAGTAATCTAAATTTACGAAGGCAAGTACTGTAAATACAGTACATACTTGTAAATGTATATATTTTAATATGATTTTGTGCGCTTTAAACACGTTTTTCTAGTGATATTATGACTTCAATATTTGTGGCAGACACACGTAAAGTCGAATAAAATGACTTAAACTTGATTTTTATTTTTCCATATACTTTTTTGACAAATGACGTATAATCGGGAACAACGTAAGTCGAGGTATACCTGTATTTATAATTTTTTTCAAACGAAGGAAACACATACTTGATTTTGTTCTTTGACTTTTGTTATATTGTTTTATAATTCTTATATATTTTTCTTTTGATAAATTCTATATATACAGCTGTCCCTTGATAATCCGACAGGTATGGGACCAAAGGGGTGTCGAATTACCAAAAGTGTCTGAATTACCGAAAGTGATTACATATTTGGCATTGTTTTGCTAGCAGTAGCCTACAATATTCCCTACTCCAACTGTTCAAACAGAACTGCTCACGGAAAAAACACGAAATGTGTGTCATCGTGTAAGAATTGGGTGGGGAGATTCACGTCGCAACATGCTTCTGTGAAAGCAGACACGTAATGGGGACGGGTACATTGATGGGAGGTGCGTCGGACTACTGAGCATGTCAGATTACAAAACGTCGGACTTTCAAGGGACAGCTGTATTTTTTATTTATATAATTCATCATATGATATTCAATTATGTGTTCATTATTTGCTGAAGTTAAAAAGTAAAAAGCTCAAATTCCATATTTGATGTTTCATTATATAAATAAATTTATAAATTACTAAGATTAGAAAAAAGATAACATTTAACCTTTCTCACAGTTGAGACAAAGCATGTATTACTATTCTTAAATGACCATTTATGCTGATCTGAAATTGCTTGAGAAGCTAAAATAAAAATTTATCACTTATTAACTTTATAACAAAGAAAAAGAAAAAACTAATATTAAAATAAGAAATAAGTACAACCTTTTAAAACTGGATTATGGCTAAGAATGTAGTTTAAAGAAAATTTGCAAAATGCCAGAAGAGTAGTGGAATCAACAACAGGACTATCACACATGATTTGTACAATATTAACACTGAAATTATCATAATAATCTTAAAAAACATAAAATGTCACAATAATAAAATATAATGAAATTTTTTCTTAAAATGCAGTAATTTTAAAATAAAAATATCATAAAATTTAGTTTCACAAAACTATAAATTAAATTTTTCAGTATAAATAGGGAGATTCAGAATATAAATTCTGAAAGTAAACATGGAAAGCTAGCTATCTATGGTATATTTGAAAGAAAAAATCCTATATAAACATAGATCCTGATGTCAGTACAGTAGCCCCGTATTATATTGCATCTCATTTGGATATATCATGCAATTTTTNCGCTATTACAGCATCCACAGCAGCGAATGGATAGTTTCTATAAGCGAAATTTACTTTTTCGTGGAAGCCGCCATGTTAGTTTGTTGACTACTCAACGGTCTTTCAGGTCGTTGAAACCGTTGAGCTCAACGGTGAAACAGCGCTGACGTCACTAGTCTCAACGGAGAACTCAACGGTCCATTTAGAAACGTTGTTCTCTCACCGTTGAGTCAACTGTTGAATATAGAAACGTACGGATAATCTACAAGTTAAAAGCTACAGGTTTTTCATCACAAGTTTATTAAACAAAGCAGTGTAACATTGATTTTACAGAAAGTGTTTAAAACATCCTTCCTCAACTTCAATGCACTTTTCAGCACAGGTGTGTACAGCAGGGATGGGCAACCCACAACCCTTGGACCACATTAATATTTCTTGTGGCCCGTGTTTCATAAAATATGAATAAATATACCAATTTCCTACCTTAAGGACATATTCAGCAAAAATTCAAACATTATTTTCTACAACTTATGTATGTGAATAGTTTTCCCACAATGAATTTAGTAAAAATTGTAACAAGAAGCCAGCTAACAGACTCACATCAAATCTAATTTAAAACTAGCAATAACTAATATTCAACCAAATATTTCTGATATATTACATTTACATCAGTTCCAGAAGCTAAATTAAGTATACCTATGCTAATTTATAATTATACATGAATAAATAATTGTGATTTACTGGCATTTTTTTTTTCTTTTCTCTTGTATGTGGTCCTCGTCAGTTCAAAAGTTTTGAAATGTGCCCTTACATAGAAAAAGGTTGCCCGTCCCTGGTGTACAGCAAATGTGCAGAAAGGAGATGAATGTGATGGTACTCAGAACATACAATACATGTGTATTTAAAATGTAAGAAGCCAACAAATGAGACAGGTGTTTTCAGAATGTTGTTATTAATAATTAGATATCATCATGCACTTATTTCAAATGATAAAGGATTATTATTTTTTAAATTTAAACTTAAATACTATTGAACATACAACTCATGTTCATGTGGAATTTTTTTCTTCAAACATACCATAGAATCAGCTCTCTTAAGTCCTGTTGATAACATTCTGAATCACTCTATATATTGAAAACCCATAAATTGCAGTTTACAAAATTCTATATTATTACATCTTTCTTTCCAAATTTTTCTGTGGAATGCTAAAAGCCATTATGAGGAATAACTGTATTAAATACACCATTTTATCATCAGTTTGAGATAAACAGTGTATTATGAGTGTGTACAATGTAGCATAAAATGAGTTTAGTTCAATGAATCTCATTGTAACTAAAAATAAATGTTATAATATTAAAGAAAACCTACAAATAATAAAAGGATATTTTTGTGGAAAATAAAACATCATTACAGTATATTGTGTTTTCTTCTCACTACTGATAAATTTTCTGTACAATGAATTCTCCACATTTTCCAAAAGCAATTCATTATACAGAAGTTTAACTATGTTGATATATATATATCAACATAGTTGAATTTCTGTATATTTTATAGTTGATGTTTATATATCTATATAATATGTAGTTACCTAAAAGTCAGTTAACTATGTTTAGTTTGGTGTAGTCCAGGTAAACTTGTGAGTATGAATCCAACTGAATTTGTTAAGGCATCGTAATTTGAATATTGAACAAATATGTTCTTATTTTGAGAAATTTCTATAAAGTTGGTAAACAAAAAAATATTCAAATAAGACAGCAATTTAAATAATGCCACTAATTCAGAAGACAGCAATTTATTCTTTACAATGGTTAATTAATATTTAAGCACCTTATATATAAAATATTTTAATTGCTACTCAAAAATAATATTTCTATAAATTTTACAATTAAATAAATGATAATTATATTTTAATACAGTTTACAATGGAAGAAACAATATCAATAAGATAAATTTTTAAAATAATTACCATTTCTTTTCAGAATATATTTGACTTTCATTACTGCATATTTCTAAAAAGTTTAAAGTTTAAAATTATATTTAATATGTTAATATTTGCAAATAAAATATTGCTTTCATTTAATATTAATTTAATAATACTTACTCTGTAAAAGTGATTCAAACATAATTTGGCAAACCTATAATTATAAAATATTTTAAAATTAAATTTTGTCAATATTACATATATAGGTCAATCACTAATAAGTAATGAAAACATTATTATTAAAATATTAGTAATAATAGTACACTTATAACATTGTAATACTACAAGAAAATAAACAGATAACAATAATTCCTGCAAAAATAGACATAAATTAAATTGAAAAAAATATATAATATTTATATTTAGATATTATAAAATATATATTTATGAAATAATTATTAAGGATTTATAATCTTTTTATTTCATAATAATTATATTTATAAAATAATTATTAAAAGATTACAAATCTTTAATATTTATTTCATAAATCAGTGAAATCTTCAGTAACTATTCATCTTTAATTTCCTGAAATATCTACTATTAATTGTAGCATCATACCTGACTATTCCACTGTTGAAAGGTTAAGAAAGAGCTGATAATTAATATATAATATACAATAATTCCAATGTAACATTAAATCAATAAAAATGGATAACTTTTCTGAATTCTTGGAATTATTTTATTATGAGAAATTGATTACCTAATAAAAAAAAAATGAAAATATGTGGCTATACTAATCAACAGTAATTAGTACCATTGAAAAAGAACAACTGACTACATTATATTTAATTAAAAATAAAATGTACAGGTGCCCCATGAAATTTCTGGCAACTGATGGTCTGGAACCTCTTTTAATCTGGACAAAATTACAAGAAAAAACTTAAAATTCCTGTGGCCATCAAACTAGTTTACTGGGCAGCCAAAGATAATGTTGCATGCAGGACATGCTTAATTACATTAACTACTCTGCACTCATTGATGATGCTGCAATGTTGTGATTTTCTTAGTTTATTTTGCTTAAATTTAACCCTAACTATGGTTTTTAAGAGAGATGAGAATGTCAATGGTGGTGTCAAAAGTAATTTACATTTTATATTTATTTAATTCAAGTTTCTAGCAGTCTATAGTATACTTTACACACAGGAAAGGTATAAATTAGTGGATTAGAGGTTTGTTAATGAATTATTATTATACATGATCACAGTTGGTATGGCAAAATAGTTAACTCAGCAAGGAACCAAGAATGCAGGAAATTCAGTGGAGTACCTGTATTTGTTAAAATATGTCATAGAGAAATACAAAGTGATTTTAATTAGAGAGTAGGCATTCAGAAACATCTATAGAAAAACTGTTGGGGAAATCTCAACTAAATTTGATATGCAATTTCAATTTTTAGGGAAGAAAATCTTACATTAAGGAGATTCAAATTTCAAAATATAAAAAGAATTGCAAAATGTTCTTCACAATTCTTTAATAGGTGAACAGTTATGGTGCTTACTTTACTTGATTATGCATTACTTCTTAAACTCTTCTATCAATAAAAAGGAAATATTGGCTCAGCACTTACAGAATTTCAGATTTACAAAGGTCTTCAGGCTATTAAGATTCTTAGAAAAATGATTTTGTGTTTTGAGAAGCTGAAAACTGCCATGTAACCAGAATGGGGCCACAGAAAAATACTGATTAAATAAATGAAAATGAAAGACATTGGTACTGCAGTAGTGGAGCAGTAAATTTAAAATTCTTATAGCAGTAGTAGTGCATATGTAATATTGTGCTAGAAAACATATATAATGTGTGCATTAGAAGACAGTAGTGTCAAATTTTTTTTCCTGAAAAACTGCTTACTCTAGATAGTATATAAACCAAATTTATTTGAGATTTACCCAATAATTCTTTCTACACAGAGTTCTAAATACTTCTTTAATCATGATCACTCTGTATTATGTATATGACTATTAATTTTATAAATTGTTTAAAACCAAAAAGTTTTATAAGAAAACAATTTAATAGTGCATTTACAAATTAGTAAATTAAATAAGAAACATTTTAAAATGTTAAAAATAATTAAAATTATTAATATTGGATGAGAGGGCTATAAATTCTATAATTTTTTAATGTATTTTATAAGTTTTTGTAATTTCATGTTTCATATTGTTTATATATATATAT